ATATGCAAGGTCAGCTAATGATAAGATCTTTTCCTACGAACACCACGGTGATAAAAAAAAGTTAGCGCAGCGATAATTGCTCTGTCAGCGAAGCGGAATGAGGATTTGGGTCGTAGCTGTTCCCGAACACTCTTATAACGATTTCTCTTCAGTTTGATGATGTTTCTCCCGTGGATGGATGGCCCGTGACCTCATTACTTGGGAACGAAAACAGGCGAAATTTCACTTTCCAGCTAGGTGTACCTGGAGGAAAGAAGGGATATCAGGTACAGAGCACAGCATAATAGGGATATTATTGTAAATAGGAAAACGAGGTTTTAGGCAATGACACGTGCTCGGCCTGCGAAATACGTTTGGTACGTGAACGGCGTTCTTGCAGATATCTACCTGAAACGTGGAGTAACCTATGCCTTCATGTGAGTGCTCTGTGCGAAATTTCCGATTTCGATCATAAATGGCATAAAACCTGAAAAGGATACTAGTTTAAGTAGGAGTATGCCTACTAGTTCTCAAGCACATACTAGTTTCCCATCAAACTAGTACCTTAGCCACATTCCTGCTACGTATCCTGGCAGCGGACTTGGTTTGAAAGAAAATCGACAGATACACGCAACATTTTTCTTATTATTTAGTGTCGAAGGAGGATCCGACAAGTCTACCTCAGAGTTTTACAACCCTCTATATATCACTGATAATCAATATGGCGGGTATGGTAAATTGAGCAACGAAGAGAAAGAGGTGAATATTTCTACTTCAATGTTGTAATAAATTTAAAATGTTCCAATGTACTATGATATTGGAATGTTGTAGTTTTTTTACATCCCAAAACCAGGTATTTATGGGAATTTACCTCAATGAGACATTTTTCCATTATTTTTTATTTCAAAAAATGTCCTTATTTCTTTGCCGTAGAGTCGAGTCCGTAAACAAGTCAACAGGCCCAATTGGGTTTAAGGTGGCGCGGCTGCCGACGCTTATGAGTCGCTTCTTTTCATCTGTA